TGAGATCAAGCATGAAAGCAATGACATCTTTTACTGCATGTTCTAAATTTGTATGAAGCATCTAATTTGGGACAAACTTGGGGTTTGACCCAATTAGTCAAACAGAAATCATACCACAGTCATGAGGCATTTGCAAAAGACATCTTTGCATGTAAGAGACTGAGAACAAAAGCTTTATTGTCAGTTTGGTGATTAGAAGACAGTCGATTTTTTTCCCCCCCTTCCTAAAAGTTTTAATCTTCCGTGTCCTCAAATGGCAGCAGTTTTCTCACACATCTGCAACTCTTTATATAAACAAGCTATTGGCAAAAAAAGTGTTTGTATTTATTGTCTATCATATAGCAATATGCAAATAGTTAATCCAGAGTAATCATGTTATGTATCTGTTACAGTGCTTGCTCCTGAGAAAACAGAAGCCTGGAAGGGACTATTTTACATATTCAAGAGTCTAAGGCTTTACAAATCACTATGTTCAGAGATTTAATCCTCCTGACAGAGGAGGCCATGAAGACAGACGGTCTACAGTAATGTCTACCGTGTGGCATTATGTGAATTAATAAGACCCGAAAGCTGTGAAGACTTCTTGGTGGGGGATTCTGTAGGTGGGCATTTTATTCTGATTTAAAGACCCCAGAGTCTGTTTAGTTTGGAGTTTTGGAGCAATTTCCCTCAGCGCTTCTGTCGGATTGACTTTGAGAAAAATCAACATGGCCATAATTTTAAGTATCACCTACTCCATTTGTGTCACTACAGATACCATCTCATTCAGGAGCACAGCAAGGTCAAAGGTCAGGGATTAAATTGACTTCTTATCAGTGGATCTTTAGAAATGGCCAGCAATTGAAAGCCGTTTGTGATGGGAAATCCATTTTTAATTGAACTGATGCAACTGCACTCCCTTTGTGAATCCTGGAAGTCAGGTCAGCAGGCTTTCGGAATCTGAGATAGTTTCTTTTATTTATTTATTTCTCCGATCAGGATTATTTGTGGAGAAGGTAATTTATAGATCTGATATGAACATTTACGGTGGCCCATCTTTTAAGGTGCAAGCAGGTCATAGCTCTTCTTGAGCTGTGGTCACATAAAGAGATCCACTTCTTATCGCTCCCACTGTGTGTATTTCTCACTGCCCTTGAGGGAATATAAGCTTTCAAAAGACTCATGCGCCTTCCCTCCTCCAATGGGGCCCAACCTTAGATCTGTGGACTATGTAGATTCTACACTGAATGGAAAAGATAGCAATTGTGCTCTTTTAGTTTATGCATCAACATCAGTTGTGATGAAGGAATGGGATTTCATGCAACAACAAAAAAAGCTGTGAGGACTGTGAACAAGTGGGTATGAGCTATAGAAATTAATAGTGCAGCAGTTTGGGAAATGCCAAGAGTTAAATGAGAAGTTCAGTGGCTGCACAGAAAATACGATGCTACAGCTGAGTTGGCTTAGTGGAGCTGGAAACACCTAGCTAAACTCCCTCCAAACATAATTCCCCTACCATCAAATGTGCTAAATTAAGCTTACAGATCTATCTTCAAGTGGCATCTGGCTTCTCAAGTCACACACAAACCATTTGAAAGTCCTGATGGCTTGAGATGAAAACACCGTCTTAAATCCCAGGATGTTTTTGAAGTAACGAGCGACCATTGCGTCAGATTTTGCGGTCAAGCTGTCTTAAATGAGCAAATATTGACCCACTCATTCCTCAAAATTTCCTTTTGTACAACCACCATGGCTTGACAGGCAGCGATCCATGACAGATTATGAGATGGATGAGCCATAAGCTGTTACCGGGTTTGTATTGTTCCCCAGCCTGCCACCACCTCTTCTGAAGTGCTGCGAAGCACTAATTCATCTTCCAGGCCTGTGGGGATGGGGGTGGCGGTGGAGGATGGGACCCTGTGCCCTCAGACCAATCAGTCTCTCAGCAAGCACACAAAGGTCCTGCTGCTTCTACAACTGGAAACTTGGCTCGACGGTGAGGAGGGCATGCTGTTGGAAAGGAGTCAATTACATTTCTTTTCATTTAGAAAATTCAGTTGGGCATCATTTCAGCCCTAATGACAAATAAACAGGTTATCCTATTTATGTCTAATTTAATTTATAACTTCAGCTAAACGGATCAAAGTTGGAGGGTGGCAGGAATTGTACTTGGAGTTCCTGCTTCTGAAACAGGTGGTGCTCAAAATTGGATGATGCCATGCTTGTTATATTGCTTCATCTACTCTGATTAGTTCCTCTCCCTTGTTCACCAGCAGAATTAACAGCAGGGTGGTTGGTGTGTGATGAAGAAGCTGAATCACTGACATTATGTTACTTTGAAAACAAAATAATTTCACAAAAACTACCAGAGACAAAATGATTAACTCCCCTGATGCTAACAGTCATTTGTGTATCCTCTTAGCTAGGAAACAACCACAAGGATACGCATGTGTGACAAAAGTCAGACACACATCTCCTGTGCAATCCCAGCCCGCTCTTATTTGGCGAATCTCTCAATCTCCTCCAAATTCAATGGTCTGGTATGAACCTGTGTCTTTGACAGTCCGGTCAATAACATTCACTTTGGTTTTCTGGTGGTAGCTCTTGACCAGGAGTGACACATGTTGGGGGTCAGTGTCGTGTTGGAAGACAAAGCGACAACACAGACACAGTTTTGTTGCTGAAACTTGTGGTTTTCTTTCAGAATCTCACATATCCTTCTTTATTCATGATTCCTTCCACCTTGACGAGATTCCCAGTTCCAGATGCACTGAAACACCCCCACATCATAACACCCCCACCACGTTTCGCTTCGATGATGCTCTTTGCATTGTTCACCGCTCCCTTTTTATTTCAAACACAAACAGCCTCTCTGTGGCAAAACAGCTCTAGTGTCGTCTCATCTGACCAAAGGATGAGCTTCCAGTACGCAAAATCTTTCTCCAGGTTGTCCTCAGCATACTTGTATTTTGAATTATGTTCAAGTTGCTTGAGGGGGTCTCTTCTGTAGAAGTTTTTCTTGGTATGCAACCTCACAGTTCAGTCCCGTTCAGGGTTCTGGGGTATCATTAGTTTTTTTTTTTATCAAGGATCTTTGAAACTTTTTGCTTCTGTCTGGTTTTGTCTGTTCTTTGAATTTCTTGATACTTTTCTCCAGTTCTTGACCCCCCCCACCCCCACTCACTAAAATAGTTTTGTGATTGTGTGGAAATAGAAATAAGTCACGCTTTCTAGAGAAAACTAGCATGTTTAGAAATGCTTTGAGAAAAAACACTTTACAGACACTTTAAAATCCGGATGATTTGCTGCCAGCACTTTCATCTGTTGCAGTTCACCGTGGCTCCGACTTCGTGTCAGGTTTACTATATAAAATGGATCACCTCGAGCATTTCCTCCACACATCGCATCATCTTTTGTGCACGAAAAACCAACAGCATATGATCTCATGGTGTTTATCTAAAGAGGCTTAGTAAAAACTGCATGCGCTTAATTGTGCAGCGTAGCAGCACAGAGCCCTTGTTTATGTGAACTTGGATGTCTGTTCTCATCCGAAGAAATGTCCCCGATCCCGAAGACAGAAGAAAAGGCCACCCACAGGGCAAGTAGCTGTCATCGTTGATTCACTGCAGGATGAATATAGTAAATTCTTAAGCAACCTCTCTTGAAAAAACACCTATTGAGAAACTTTACAAAAGAGGCCTCTTACATTCTCCGGGTGGGAGATTACTGGGAGGGTTGGTGCAATTATGCCTCCTCGTTCTGAATGAAGTGGAGCAGAGAGTTGTAGCTAATCTGCAACTCAAACAAGAGTAAATCTAAGCTAATCAACGGAGAATTACAATGCCAGGCACAGGCGAAAACATAACAACTCGGGATGGGTGTGTGTGTGTGTGTTGGTGATTCATGCTATGCTTTTCACAGTGAAATACGCCCCAGGGCAAGAAACAGCTTAGTCAAAGAGCCACTCAACACATTTGCAAGGAAGTAAACACGCAGCAGCTCAAGAGCAGGTAGAAATGTGCATGTCAGAAATATCAATCAGAGCCTGTCACAGCAGCACTTAATAACAGAGGTGTCAAAGACTTTATGTGTGCCTGAATATAAACTCAACAAATGATTTCAGTGGTAGTTGTCTGAGCATGCAGGTCTGGAAAGCTCGCTGGAGATTTGGTGTTTTTCTTTTTTAAAGCAAGAGAAGATGTGCGACGGACCAGATCCACGAGAAATTCTTACCTTTATCGTTCAATCAACTGAAAAGGAAAAAAAAAAGGTGTTGACTTTGGGGAAAAATCTTTAAAAACTAGTTTAAAGTCGTGTGGTGAGCTGGGAGCACAGACACAGGCCAGCTAATCTGTGGTGTTATGACTGAAAATACCCCTGCTTCCAAGGGTTTTCCTCCATGCGGGCATGTTGCTGCAGGTACGGCAGAGGAGACGAAATACCATCCGAGCAGCTGAATGAGTTGCCGAGTCTGAGGGCTTATCAGACGGCGGTTTAGGGTTGAGGAGGGACTCTGAAAGGTTATCGCGGCAGCAATAACTCTCTCTGTGCATTTAAAGACTGCGGGGGAAACAAAGTAACTGACACAATGCTCAAGTTTACAGCGCGTGGACCAGCTGTATATTTGATTAGTCTAATCAGTGTGTTGCTGGGTGATGTTAGATCACGCTGCAGGAACATGATCAATTTTTCTGCCTTTCCTCCTGCTGTGCCAATGAAACGGCTTCATTGAAATTAATGAGAGGGCTCTGTGTATGTGTTTTTTTTAACACTGCTATTGTTGGTCTAGATGAGGCTTTAGGTGTGAGAAGGGTAATGACAGGCTTGCTTCTGTTGAGAAGAGATGAACCGCATTTCTCCTGTGGTTATTATGCTCTCAACTAAAAATAAAGCTGAACTCATTTTCCCCCTGTCACCTCATTTAACCAGACAGGTTAATAAAAACATTAAAAAAAAGAAAATGATCTCTTGCACCCTGAGAAAATGGCATCATTGAAACATTTCAAAAGAGTCTTTTTCCATTTTGCCAAACGCGTTCTTTAATTAAAACAAGAAAGAAAATTATTTATGCATTCACAAAAGTTGTAATCGTACAATTTTGTATTCTATACAATTAACCAGGATTGATTAATTAAATACAAATACCAGGAATTCAAAAAAAGACCAAACTGATACTAATAATATGTCAGCTCTGGAAACTCCTGGCAAAAATAGCGGTGGGGGGAAAGAAGTTGGTTTTTTTGTCCTCTTCAGCTTCTCCTTTACAGTCAATCTGCAGCTGATGGGACCAGTCCCTTCTTGGCACCCTGGTGGTAGTGGCTCTCCAGTTTCCCTGTGAGAAAAAAATGGGGGTGAAAGGGAAGGGTGGGAGTGGAGAAAAGAGGAAGGGATGAATCAAAACACCATCAAAGGGACAGGGTGACCTTTCTGAGAGCTCAAGGCCTGCTGATTACAGGCGGACTCGGGTAGATGCACAAAGACAAGCCGAGAGAGAGACGGAGACAGTGAGATGATGAGGAAAAAAGACCAGGGAGACCTTTTATTCACTGACAAAGAGAGATTAGCCCACAGCCTTTTAATATACATATACAGCCCTGATTTGGATTCAGTATAATTCAACAGCAACAATGGCTAAACACACAAAGCTGATAAAAAGGAGTACGTGTATGGATCTAACACTACCTGAAATGTAAAGGAGTTTCCTATAATCCTCTCTTTCACAACCACAGTGCATTTAAAATGAACCAGTCACGCTTTAATTCAATTGGTTTAATATAAACATTGTAATAACTGTTTAGAATTAAAGCCACTTTGTATAGTCTCATAATTTTTAAAGGCTCATTGGACAGTTAAACCCTGTGTAGGTTAAAGATCAAGATCGGCCCTCTTGACAGAAATCGTCACAACGCTAAAAAACAAAAAACAATTAAAAAACAAGCAGAAAACTTCTGGAGTTTCCAAACGATCAGGTGAACAGAAGAAGGTACTTTCAGCTCTGCTCCATTATTTTCCAAGCGGTCGCCATAGTGGATGAGCATCTGGATGTATAACAGAGATTTTTTTTTTAAGCACTGGATGTCTTTCCTGATGCAACCCTAACATTTATATGGTCTTGATCACACTAGCTTGTTTGTGTCTCCTCCTGGTCTCAAAGTGGGGATCTTTCGAATGTAAAGTGAAAAGTTGAGGCTCACTAGAGCGCAAAACCACTGGTGTGCATGGTCATATTACTGGTTCCTCAGTTAAGAAAACCTCCTTCACATCACACGTCAGAAAGAGAAGAAGCGATTCGTATCATTGCCCTGGTGTACAATCATGACGAGGCGTCAGGATGTAAATACTGAGGGTTCACCTCAATATGCACAGCTCTCAAGGACAGGTAGGACTGATTAGACTTTGCTAAATTACATTAAAAAAAAGCCTGGCCAACTCTGGCACAAGATCTTTTCATCTGATGACTAATTCAGACTTCTTCGGGTAGTAACCTGACGTGCAAATCCCGAGTAACTACATGTCAGGTCGACACTGCCAGCAAAACTACTGTGGTTCACCTGCTCAGCAGTGTCATTTCCTTCTGTGCATTTACGCCTTCACAGGTTTTGCATTTTTAGAGAGACAGTAAGAACCAGAAAGAAAAAGACCACAACTAGGAGCGGCCAATTAGCAAGGCTGCATCGTAGGCTCTACAACAGCTAAGTCAGGCCTAAGATAGCCCAAGAGGAGCTTAGAGGAAAATAACGGGATGAGCCTGGAGAACCACATCATCTGACAATTTAATGGAAATTTTCATTATCATGTTGTTGTTATGCAATTAGTTGAGCTGATCCTGCAGCACTAGCTTGGTTTAGTTGATTTTGTTCTACAACTCCTGTATCCTCACTGCCATAACAGTCGGCATACAAACTGGATACTGCAGTGTGCAGAAAAATAAAAGTTATTTATGTGTGCAGTAAAAAGTAAGGAGGCTAATATTGATCCTTGTGCGACACCTCTAACACCCAGCTTGGCTTAAGTCCATCTGCACAAACAGTCTTATCTCCAGCAGAAAGACAGAATTTATATCAGTAGCAAACAGAATAGCAGGAAGTCAATGGAAATCAGGAAATATGAAAAGTCAGTAGTAACAAATAAATATTACAAATTTATGTCTTTGCATGTCTTCCAATCTGCCAAGAATGCATCAGTGAAGGATTTCTTGGTAATCTTTTGGATTTGGTAGTTGAAGCAGCACCTGCACAAACTTGCTGATTAATGCTCTTCTATTTGTAAAACCATACACAGGCAGCCGCTTTTGTTGTAGATCCACGGTTACAACTTGTTGCTCACCAAACTCATGGGAACCTCTGCTGCGACTGTTTACACCGATGAAACAGCTGAGAATGTTGAAGAGGGATTTTATCGAGTTGCTATTTAAACCAATGCCTGTAGCTATGGCGCGTAAACAAAAACTCTCGCAGCCATTGACCGGAGCTGACCTCCTAATCTATCGTGAGTGCAACTTGTTGTCTGTCAGAGCGGCATTCCGAATTTTCATCACATTCAGAATTTCTCTATTACAGCCCGCGGTCTACTGCTCTGTCCCTATTCTGCACAGGACAACCTCTGCCGGTTTTCCATACCCCTTGTTGACCCCGTCTCTTACTGCGAAGCAAATAATAACCCGGCGTCTCTCAGCCTCACACAAGCCTCCTGTTTGTCAAACTACGACATTAACTGCTTTCCCCCCACCCGGTGGCTGAGGCAGGGGGAAAAAATTATACAAATGTGACAGGCAGGGGCGGTGGTTGTCACTTATGCTTTCTTTTCATGTTGTCATGTTATGGCTGAACTCTGTGGGTAGTAGCAGCATAAATAAGGTGTTAAGGAGAAGTGCTGTTTGCTCACCATTTCCAAACCTCTCTGAATGGCTGTCAGTGTGTGTCTGTTCTGCCAGGAGCGAGTGCTGCTTAGGTGTGGAAACACCCCTGGAATTTTGTTAGGTGAGTGCTGCCAAAAGGTTATCCAAGATTACTGTAATGATACATTCACCCACACAGAAACGCAGCCTAAGTTAAAAAGGCTTTTCTGAGCCATCCAGCAGACGAGGTCTAAGAGTGGTTATATTGTAGCATGTATTTTAGGAGGAAAATAAATATTAGATGTTAAGAGCGCAATGACTAAACCATAAAATATCGAGATGGCAGCTGAACTCCGAAGAGCTGAAGTCAGAGCGGTGTTGTGCCAGCGTAAGCAGACTTTATTTTCCCTGAAGGGTTCTCTAGCACTTCAACTTCTCTGACTTGTTCAGCCTTTAAAAAAACAAAACAAAATCACAAAAACTTCCTTTTAGTGCTGTGTGAGTGACAGCTGGGATCAAAATCGAGGAAAAATCGCCACTGGCAATTTGACACAGTGACATTTGTGTATATTTTTACTGAAACAAACATGATATCGAAACAAGCACTTGAAGCATTCGTTAACTAGACTGTCCATGTTACTTTGTCTCGGTGACAATGGCAACCTGATGTAAAAACAAAGCCCCCACCCTGACACCCTCTAAAAGTGATAGGTCATAAAATCCTGTTAGTCATAATGAAAAACACATACAGTTCTCCAGGCTTTCTGGAAGTCTTTCAAATTGCTTCTTTGGACCAGTGTTGTGTCTTTACATGGCAGACAACTAAGCAAAAGAATTTTATTTTATTTTTTTAAATTCAGATCAGAGAGAGGAACAACAGTAACAACAGTAAATAACGCTTGATGGAGGCTCTGTCATGGTTTAGGCTACATTTCAGCCAGTAGTGTTGGCGATCTTGTCAAAATTTATGTAATTTATGTAATTATGAATGCAGAATGGAAAGCATATGATTGACAAAAGCTTCATTTTTCAGTATGACAATGATGCTAAACACACTGCCATAGCATTAAAAATCATACAAAGACTATCAGTCTTTTTGGATCGGCCTCCCCAGAGCCCGGACCTCAACTTTTTTGAAGCAGTGTGGGATCATCTTGACAGAGAGCACAACAAGAGGCAGCCAACATCCAACGAAGAGCTTTAAATGTCCTTCAAGAAGCCCGGAGAAATATCCCTGAACACTACTTAAAGAAAGCTAGCTTAAAAGAGCTCAGGCTGTCACCAAATACTGAATTTCGAGCTTGTTAAATTTGTACAAGCTCTGTTTTTGTGTTATATGCTGCATTAGCATGCATGTTTCCACATTTCAAAAAAATAACTGCACCTCAATTACTTCCCATTTTCCTAGCAAAAAGTTTAGAACGAGGGGTGACTCAAACCTTTTTCACAGTACTGCATAGTCATGCTAATTTCTCTCCTCTGCTGTCCAAAGACTTCAGTCTATGGCTGTCACTGTGTATGAGAGGGGGAGGGATGGAGCAGAGCACGTAGCACACTAACAGAAGAGACGAGGCAGAGTTACTCAAGCTGATTAAAACTCTTTGCCTACAACAACAGTTTTCCAACCTGTGTTAATTCATCTAAAACCAAAGATGGAGCGATGCTGGCTGACTCCAAATATCTGGAAGCCTGATGAACACAAACCACCCAACCGCACCCCAAAGAGGTCAATCTGTGGGAAGCATTGGGTTTCCTTATAAAATGACTAGTTATGCAATTTTAAGGACAGCCAGTGTGCTGCATTTTAATTTATTTTGTGAACAGTTGAGTCAACCAGTAGTAGGTCGAAGACGGCAGGTTATTCAAAAAAGCTCCAATACTCAGTTTAATTCAGAAAATGTGGGCTTCTTTACGTGACACTTAAGCTGCAGAGATCGTCTTAAGGTCTCAACTTCGGGAGGATCTATTAATGAATCTTTAAGCCACCTGAGTTCAGTGCAACAAGGTGACAACGCGGCATTGACATATCACCTCCTGAAGGTGTTATGGTGAATGTGTTGGCAAACAGGTCCTATTCACACCTCACCTCCAGCAGACACGGAGAAGGATTAGCATTTACTACAAATACAGGCACCTGGTCACTGTCAATTCAATCTTCACTTTGTTTTTGAGTCCATCCAGCCCTTTGGCTGATAAATGCTCTGCTATGTTCCACTTACCAAAGACAGTTTCAGACCTGTAAACAGCTTTAACCACCAAGCTCACAGTCTGCGATGTCAAATTGTGCTCACGAGAGAACACTTCACCTAACTAGACAGTTCGTGGTGAATGGGTGTATTTTGTGCTTCATCTTGCACACGCTGTGTCCACAGTCGCCTCGGCTCACCCAAAAGGAGAATTCTCAGTAAGAATGAGTCTGAAGCAGCGCTGAAAATTTACTTTTAGAAATGTAATGCTGCGATTCTCCCAATATTCTCCAGAGTTTGTGTGAAAAT